CGCGTCTTACGCGGCTCCTGGAGGTGGCCGGCGCCCTGCCCCGCGCTTCGTGGGAGGATAGGAGGAAGAAGCGGGACTAGGTGAGTGCTGCTCTGGGTTTCAGAAACATAAACCTGCGTGCGAAGATCGCTGCGCGGAGCTGGGAAGTCAGGAGGAGAGAGAAACCAGACGGCGGCCGCTCCGGACAACTCCCGCGGCGGGATGCGGCCGGGCTTGCGGAGCTGCGTCCTGGGCGCCCAGCCTCGCCCCCGCCGCCCGGCACGCGCGGACTTTGCAGATGTTGCTGGGGCCGAGGAGGGAGTCACAGTGTTTCTGCTTTTTTCTCTCGTCTAGCTTCGAGACAAGCAGCAACTGACGTCTTTGATGGCTGGCTGCATCTGCGCCCGGACTTCTCCCCGCAGGGCTGGAGCCTTTGAGCATGCAGGAGCGTTTAGAAAGTAGAAAGTAGAAAGGAGAATGGGGTGCATCACCCAGCGGACTGCGGGGCAGCCCTTGAAAAGCTGGGGCCAAGCCGTGGGTAGCGTGCCTGAGCCTGAATCTCCAACCGTGGAGGTAGAGGCGCACAAGAAGGGGCAAAACATACCTACCCCGTGGTGCCATTTGGGGGACTTATTTGAGAACACATGTCATGTTTGTAAAATCGTGGAGAGCGGAATGTGAAGTGTACGTCAGATTCGTGATTGCGGCGTCTGGGGGAGTGTGAGCGGGAAGCAATTTGGTATAGGGTTAGGGTGGAAATAATGTCCATCTAAAATGTTTAACGTGTAAACATGATGAAGCCAAGTTGACAAAATATAAACAATTGTTAACTGAGAGTGTTGTTAACTTGGGTGTTTTTCTTTTTTTTTTTTTCTTTCCCGTTTTTCTAAATATTTCACGGTGTGCGAATTTTTGTTTTTCAAACGCAAAGTAAGTTATGTCTGTGCACATACTGTGACAGTGAAATCTCGAGTTCCATCAGAATATGCAATTTTCTTGCATCATTCTCTACTTATGTTCTCCAGTGTTAGAAGATAACATCTCTTTACCTGAGGAGGCTTGGCTGTTCAAAGAAGCTCACTTGTTGACAACCCCCACAAGTACAGGCCAGAGGTGAAATGTTGGCGTTAGGGAACTAGTCCTCAGTTCATAATCTGGTAATTGGCCAGGCCAAGGTAGACTCTGAAAACTCCCTGTGTTCCTGCACGACAGACTTCCCTGTCTTTTATTTTTATGTGTCTGGGATTTTCATTTTCGTGGCTGGTAGCTGTCCTTTTGACACCTCATACTGATGCTTAGGTAACTGCCGACTGGGCGCCAGGAGGTCAGGAAGGGTTTGGGACTCCGGAGAAGACAAGAGAAGCCTGCGGCTGTTGTGGGCGGTGTGTAGCAGACTAGAAAGGTTGTGTCTCCATTTTCCTGCCAGAGAATGGCTGGTTTCTTTCTGAATATGAAGGAAAGTTATCTAGTTTGGTTATCCACATGGATGTGTGTGTGTGTGCGTGTGCGTGCGTGTGTGTGTGTGTGTGAAAGACCATTTTAAACTGGATTTTGTGTTAGGTGCAATGCCGAAGACATTAAGCCACCACCCAATAGTTCCATCTGTCTGCCCCTCCTCCAGACATGGACAAAAGTGGTTCTGTTTGCGTATTAAAAATCAGTGGATCTGTGCTGAAAAAATTATCTGCACATCAGAATGGAAGTCTGAAGTGTGGAAAATTGCAATAAAATTCCTTCCTCTTTCTCTTTCTGATTTGACAACTTGCAAGGTCATTGCTTGGTACAGCTTATGTTGCAAGAAGATGGGCTACTTGAGCAAAACTTGAGGTGTGAAGAAAAATATGAATGACAGGACTGGGGTGTGGTGTGTAAGCTACATGTGCTCAGGCTTTAGGCATAAAATAAAAGAGAATGTAGCCCTGGTCTGCAATTAACAGGCGCAGCTCCTTAAAATGAATGTCCTCTTTAGGACTAACCATCTCATTCTAGCACCATCAGTGGTTCAGTGCTTACACCATTCCCCACTTGTTCTGGATTTTGAAGGCAATAATAAAACACAAAGGACATTCCAATCGCCTCTCCCTAGCCCACACTAAAACACAAAGGGCATCCCGCTTGCTACTTCTTAACTCCCTTGTCTGCTGGAGTTAAACGCCTTTCGATTTTTTAGCTCCAAGAGAGGACTGAGTTCTGTCTTCTGGGATCTCAGTAATCCCACTGAGCTCCAGTCACCTGTTACCCCCTGCCTCTGCCCCCTCCTCTCCATACCACTTAATTGGTTGCTTCCTAATTGCTGACTTTCTTTACTCTCTGCTTAATTAATCTTTTTAAAGTCCGTAAGGATACTTTGCCAGCAGTTGGCTTTTAGTATGAAATGTGGCATTTCCTGAATGAAGCCTTTACTTACAATTTCCTCAGGAAAAATGAGCTTTTCTTCTATACTTGCTTGGGGGCTTCCCAAGTTCTTTTTTAATAACTCATTTTTTTAGCACTTTCTCCAATTCCACCTATAACCTATATTTCCTTCGTGTGGAAAAAATCCAAGAGGAAATCAATCAACAGATGTCAACTATTTTAAAAAAATCTTACACGATAGGGAAATCATGCTGTTACCAAAAACAATGGGAGCTAACATTCATTCTTTGCCGATTCCATGCCAGCACTGTGCCAGTTGCCTTATATACATGGTCTCACTAACTATATCCATGAGCCATATTTGCTCCAAGCAGGAAATTTTCTCAAGCCATATAGCAGAGCTGAATTTTAAAATGTTATTTTGTGTAAAATCTTGATCTTTACCCTGTTTTTGTAGACCTAAAGATCTGTGCCTATGTTTCCCTGTGGCAACAATCTGTACAATCTGTACCTCTTTCAGAGGGACTGCACTGCCCCCCCCCCCCCCAGTGCACTGATATCCAGTACCTGGTCTGGTTCCCTCATGTGCATGACCTGCCTGGCTCCTGTGGGCATCTAAACTTGTGATCCTGGGGTGGTGTTGTTCTGCCCCTCACTGGAGAAGTGAAAGGTTGTGGAACTGGCAGAAGCCATTATCGGTGTCTGTTTCAGGACCAGAACCCAGGATGCTGCCTCTGTTTACCAAATCAGGGGAATTAAGATTCTTCACCATGATGTTTTAAAATGGAAAAGCCATAAATATACTTTTTTCAGGGATTTTTTTTTTCAGTCACGTTATCTAACTTGAGCTTCAGAGTGGCCAATAATTATTGACTGAGCACTTATGCTGTGGAAATACTTTATGTATTAAGTTAAATGTGTGTGTATTATACGTTTTTGTAACTCAATACATAAAGTTATATTTATGTAAATATGTACACACAAATATGATATTACAAATTATGCATATACATAAATGGACATCATACATTAACTCAATAACCTGAGAATTAAATGTACATATATCACATTCAACTCTTCTGTGAAGTAAGGGTCACTATCATCTCCAAGTTGAGAAAAAGGAAAAAAAGAAACATGCTTAGAGAAATTCAGCAGCATAATCAATATGATATAACTTTATGTATTGGGTATTGAGTGGTTCGTAAAGCCACATAGAACTCGTTCCTTTTATATCACAGTACCTTTCAGGGCTGGGGGAAGGAGACGGCACATGCATCTTATGACCAAAACAGTTAAAGTTGTTGGTCACACAACAAAACCTCAGCATATTTTCTTTAAAAACATAGAGATTCACAATAAAATATTGTTTTATTGTATAGTTATAAAGCACTGCTGACCTCATTTTAAACTTTTCTTCATATTTTGAGAGATATTTTGCTTTCCTCCTGCTGTGTAAGTCCAGATGACTACTGAAGAGCACTGTAGTCTCTTCTCCTATTGCTTGGTGTTTCCTTTCTGAATTCATCAGTTTCAAGCACAAAGGTTTTCATTGCAGTAATGCACATTAGGTTAATGTTTTGGCCGTGGTCTGTACTCAGCATGCCTGGACTAGCCATATTATTAGGATACTGTTTCTTTTTCTCTTCTAGATATCCAGCTAAGGCTTTGGGTCCTGAGTGAAGATGAGTGTTTCTTCCAGAACACTGTAACGGGAAGATCCAGATCTGGGCAGACTTGACCATGGGAGCCAACACTTCAAGCAAACCCCCAGTGTTTGATGAAAATGAGGATGGTAAGAAATGTAGGATAGTGGCATGCAAAAACTAGAAATGTGTCAGATTTAAACATAAGCTCCTAGTTTCATAAACAAAGTGCATGCATGTTCTGTAGGGCCTTTAAGGAAATGGTAGAGCTGTGTAGGCAAGGCTGAGGTCCTAGTGCAGTGATGGACTTAACCTTCTACTGTTCATGGAACCTTTGGCAGCTTTCTGAATCTCTACTATACCGTTGTTCTCCTTGGTCCGAAGGGAGCCGTGGTTGGGCAATTGATGATTGATTAAATGATTGTCCCCTTTGCTGTTCCTTTGAAAGTTGAAGTTATCCCCATTGCTAGTTGCTACAGAACATTTCCTATATTCTCAAAATGCATGTGAGTGATCGTCTATGCTCATGATATTATAGAATGAAGTGCGCCTTCTGGATTTTTGACTGCCATGCTTCTGCATCTTAGAAAAGTTCTGCAGTGCTGGGTCACAGAAAAAGGAGTTGTTTTTATTGGTGAAAAAGGAAACTTTCAAGGCCAGACTCAGCAAGACAAGAAATGAAAGCATGAGTCCTGATTCTCCTGTCATCTCATGATGAGGTGTGCCAGAACTTGGGTCACCTCCCCACAACACACTTCCGGCCTAGAGTGGACATGTGAACAGACTGTTGGTGTGTTCATGGTGGCAGCTGTTTCTACACTGTCTAGGAAAAATAATATCCAGGTCCCAGGTAGTAAGTTATCTAGGCCACTGAGAGGGAGCCCCCAGAGTAATTTCCAGAGACTTCTGCTAATTGGGCTACAAGGGAAAATAATGAACTGTACTTCAGGAGATCTGATACCAGTTACCTGTGAGGCTCTAGAAGTTTACTTTCTCACTCTATATTTAATTTCCTCATCAATAAAGTGAGGAGATATGGCGACCTTGAAAGTTTCTTCCAACTTAAAAAGTTTATCATTTTGAGATTCTAAAAAACCACTTTGCAAAATTATGAAGAAGCTTCTAAATCATCAAGGCAAGTTTATTGTGTTGGAATGTAAGTGTGATTGCTAAAACAGAAACCACAACTATTAATAACAGTACCTTAAGCCAAATTTTTTATCTCTAACATGGAAAGACAAGTTTACATATTCATGTACGTGTCCACTGTGTTCCTTGTGTCCTCAGATCTCATAATGCGCCCAAGGCTGGTCATCAGAGAGCCCAGGGGGAAAGAGAGGCCAGTTTCATGCTTGGAACTTGCCAGGGCTGTGTGTCCCTTACAAATATTAGGATAGCATTATGACGCAAAGACACAGAAATGCCTAAGTCCTCTTTGATTCGGCTAGCCTTTCTTCTTGTGGAATGCTCAAGAAAGTTACACATCCAAAGGGTGGTGAAAGATGGAGAATAAGGTACCACTTTAAAGCTACCTTCAAGGGATTCTGGAAAAACTAGCAGAGTTAAGTTGAAGGGCCGGGTAGATCTTTCTTGACTCTCTCCATCTAGGTCATGACCTTTGTGTTGTCAGCTTCGTGGCCCCATGTGATGTGCCCACGAAGGGAGGAGCCCAGCAGAGCAGCAAGTCTTGCTTCCCACAGAGGCTAGACTACCCTGAGTTTGTTTATGCACACAGTGTATGGCGGCAGGATGAAGGCAGGCAGGTCCACCTACTATGAGCCCATCACTCTGCCAGACATGCAAGGTGATCCATGCTCTGTCCCTGTGACCCCATGTTCTAATGGTGACAGCAGACAGTAGACAAGTGTGCAGATACATAACTCAGATAAACTTCAGATTCCATTAAAGTACCACCAAGGAAATGACTGAGCGGTTTTATAGAGAGTGACAAAGTGATGTTGGAGAGGCCACTTTAGCTAGGGTGTGATGAGATTGGCTTTTCTAAGGAGGTGACATTTGGGCTGAAGCCTGAAATGAAGCCAGCTATGTAATGATATGCGAAGAATCATTCAGGCACAGGAAAAACCAAGTCTGAAGTCCCGATAACGACAAAATTGGGAGTGAACAGTTAGTTGCCTGCCTGTACCATAGCATTCTCTTACGAGCATGAGCTTGTCAAAGGGACAGTATTTAATTGCCACATTATTTGTTTACAAGATTATTGAGCTTTGGGGAGAAAAAGTATGCCATTCTAAGCAATTTACTTTTTTCAAATTCAGTGAATTCCATAGTTGGCTCTTTGCAAAGCTCTGGATTGAGCACAAGGTAACATTTTATTTGATTGCTCTAAAGCTTCTGATCACAAACAGACAATGAAAAGGCACTGACTCATCAAAGAGTATTAATGCCTATGTCATTTTTAATATCCATATTTTTGTGTAAATAATTATCAAATGCCAGAATATAGGGCACTAAAGTGAGCCAACTTAATTCTTTTTAAAAAATTGCTTAAAAGAATCCCACAATGTGATTTTTAAAAAGTTTTCCTTCAGATAAGACTATATTCCCAATATATAAATATGAGAAGAAAATTTAACCAATTTTCCCATGTAATGTTTCAAAAATTATTTCTCATGGAAAAGTGTTTTTGTTCACTTTGAAGGTAATTAAGAAGTAAGATAAGACATTATTTGATGTTTCTTGAGATAAGCTATTCTTGCTAGAATTCATCCTGTTACTTGTATGTCATATTACTCCATCTGGTATCTGATCTTGAGCAAATCATTTTATTAGTTACTTATGTTGATCTTTATTTAGTGAAAAGAAAATATAAGATTTACAGTGCTGTTGAACAAAGTAAGACTTGCTTATTTGATTAGTGTTACCTTTCACATATTAGGTCTCAAACTATACTATTGTTGTGTGGTTTTAGCTTTTATAGTTTAGGGCAAACCTAAGTCCCAATTACTTTTTAATAAACATATATAACTAAATTTACCCTTCTGATAATTTTTAAGTATGTAGTTTATGGCATTAAATATATTTACATTATTGTGCAACCCTCACCACCATCCATCTCCAGACCTTTTTTAACTTCTCAGACTGAAACTCTGTACCCTTTAAACAATAGCTTCCCTATTCCATTCTCTCCCAGGTCCCTGGCAACCACCATTTTGCTTTATTTCTCTATGAATTTGCCTGCTCATGTAAATGAAATCATACAGTATTTGTCTTTTTGTGACTGGCTTGTTTCACTTAGCATATGTTTTCAAGATTCATCAATATTGTAGCATGTGTCAGAATTCCTGTCCTTTTTAAGGCTGAATAATATTTCATTGTATGTTATACCACATTTTGTTTATCCTTTCATTGCTTCACAGACATTTATTGTTCCCAACTTTTGTTTATTGTGAATAATGTTGCTATAAACATTGGTGTACACATATCTAAGTTCTGGCTTTGAATTATTTGGGGGTCTGTACCTCGAAGTGGAATTACTGGATCATATGATAATTTTTGTTTCACTTTTTAAGGGTCCACTATCTTCTACCTAGCTATGTTTTGTGTTTTAGTAATGGGAAGTAGCCTAGTATGGGGGACTAGGATATTGAAAAGGCATATACCAATTCAAGTCTGGTCTGGGCCATATGCCAATAATCTACATGTTTGTAAGAGAGAAGTCAAAACGGATGTAGCCCAGTCAAGCATTATCAGATACTAGAGTTGACTAATTATAAAGTGTTCTTAAGAAACTTGAGATACCAAGAAAAAATCCCCAAACCTTACTAATTACTAATAATTAATATGGAAAAAACTTCTATTGTGCAAAATCATTTAATCTCTCCAGACCCCAGTTTCTTCATATGTAAAATGCAAGTAATAATTGGTCATACTTCGTTGGGTCATTGTGAGGATTAAATAAATAACACCAGTAAACCACTTATTTTGGTCCCTCACATGAAGTAGCCATTCAATTAATGCTAATTAGTAGTACTATTCACCAGTGTCAGAGTTTCTTAGTGTGAACTCTCTAAAGCACTTCAATTTTTGAAAGAAACAATTGATTTAATGCAACTCTGTAGATGCCACATTCAGTGGACCTACTTTTGAGTCTATTGATTGAGTTGGATTGCCAGAATAGCAAATTTCATGCATTCTGAGAAAATCTATATACAAACACTTTAAAAGAAGTCAATTTATTGACTGCACAAAAATATAATCTTATCTGGTTTCTTTTTTATTCCCCCTGAGGTTATAATATTTTCATTTAAGGCAAAATCAAGAACTCATTGGGATGAAAATCAATGGACTTCGTCGTTATTTCTGATTTGAGCCCCAAACTAACTAATACGTAATCTCATGTGATCAACAGACATAGTGAAAATTGCCCCCATACTCAACTACCTTGCAGATGGTCTGAGAAATAATTAACACCGCAAAACATGTTGAGTTTCCTGAAGTAAAAGGAGTGCAAATGATGCTTGTTTTTAATGTTTATAACCTTTTTACTTTAAATCTACTTTATTCCCTCTATCTGAATGCAAAGTTTTTTGTTTGTTTGGCTTGTTTGTTTTATTTTTAAAAATCAATATTTTAAAAGTCCGATTATTGAGGTTTTCAGGCTGATTTAGAAATAAAAGCTTTAATAACAGAAGAAAGTGAACTTGTTTACAATTCAGGGTCTAGGCAACAGAAAAAAGTCTTGCAATCATTTTGAGTGATATGTGTATCCAAGCATATACACAGTGTATAGAGGTGATAAAGTTGGCTTAGTTAAACCAAGAGACAACCTTCCTCTAGAGTATTGTAGCTAAGAAAAGTTGGCCTTAGGTTAAAAAGCTGTTCTAAAGAGTTCATCAATGCACTGAGTTTGCAGAGAGAGTTCAGTTATTGCATTGTTCTTTGGAGTTGCTGAAAACTCAGTGTTCTCCTTTCATTTGGCAACACTCAACTCCTCGGATATGTGGCTTTTTCCAGTTTTCCAACATCTTCAGTGACAGAGGCAATGGGGTCCTTCAAAATGTTGGACCAAGAAAATTGGCCACAGATTTTTAATTCAAAAGAAAGGGAAGTTGTTGAATTGATTCCAGCTATGAAGGACTTTGAGAATCTCCTTTATTTTAATACCTGTGTACTGCATGTTTGTCTT